CCTCTGGGTACCTGGAGTTTGCTTTGACGTCACTTTGATTTTGCTCACTTGCCTGGCTCTTCTTTCCTTTTCTGTCTGCCTGTTACTCTGCTGACAGCCTCGCCTCTCGACGTAACTTACAAAGTTCCCTGGCTCTCGGAGCCCAGGAGCACCCTCACCTTTGCCCTTGTTCCCTTCCTCCTCAGTTCTCTCCATTAATGACCACTTTCTTTTCCTCTGATGCTTATTTCTCTCCTTCAGGCTGCTCTTTGGCTCTTCCCTCTGGGATCCTCACACACCAGACACTCGCCCAGATGACCAATGATGTTTTGATCCTCTGCACGACAAAATAGCACGTATTCTTCTAGAGCCCAGCCCTTCCCCGCTCCCTTAGAGCTATCACTGATCCAGATGGACCCTGCTCCTCCTGATGAAACGTCCTGATGTCCGTTTGGTGCCACCCTGTTCTCTGTAACCACCCTGCAAGCAGCATCTTCTCGCCTGAGCTCCTATTTGGAATCTCCACCAGGAGAGGGGGGCCTTTCGCCTTTTTAGAGAAGGCAGCAGCGGCATGGCATGTCTCAGGCTAGAGCTCTTCTTTCGGTCTCTTGTGTGTATGCAGAATTCACTGCTCTTCAACCGACCCCAGCTTGCTGTAGGTAACACAGGGAAAAACAAAAACAGCCGATTTCCCTTCGATTGGCAAGTGTTCCCTTCTCCATCCCTTCTTAAGTGTGGAGATGCTGCCACTGCTAGGAGTCTTCGTCTCCCCCACGTCCTCACCTGCCTGCCAGCCCTCCAGTCCACACGGCAAGCTCCTCCAGGCCCCCTCCTTTGCAGTCGCAAGATTATTAAAGGGAATATGATTGTTTTCTTTCATTCAGACAGTTTGTGTGAGTATGTATGTGTGCGCCTGAGAGCTTGAAAGGCATTGTCCTATAGATATTTTTATAACCTGCAGCAATTACAGCTGTCAGCACAGAGACAAGCTGTGACAAGTTGATTTATGTGTACAGTATATGTGTATGCAGGAGGGAAAAGGGGGGTGCAGAGAGAGATGGGCCGGGGGGCATGGCGGGGGAGAAGGTGGAGGTGGGTGCTCGTTAGGAATCCTCTTTCCAGGAGGTAGAAAGGAAGTTGTTTCTATAAAGAACACAAATAATGAAATTGCTCTGACTGTCATTCCTTTTTCATTAACTCGGATATGCTGGGAAAAAAAATAAAATAAATCCAGCAGTTTTTATGAAGCAAGAGACAGGATATAAGATAAGCCACTAAGTGTTGGTTATATTTAGGGATTAGGAGATGAGACGGGAGCTGACATATGATTTTGATCTTCATCTATTCAAACCGCTTCAATCACGAGTTTCAATAAAATGGATTCTGCCTTGTTAATTGTGCCAGCATCTCTGACCTCTCACTGCTTTCTCAACTTCCATTTTTGAATGAAGTTTGGATCCCTGGGTCCACGAAGCCGCTATGAGGTTGCCAGTGGCTTTTCTTTGTCCACCCTGATCTCTGCTGGGTTTCCTGTCGGCCAGCCAGGAGGCTGCAGCTCACCACTGTCCCTTCCCCAGCCAGACACAAAGACAGTGTGTCTATCTCAGACCAAGTGCCCGCAGACTGGTATAAGCCGAACATCCTACAGAGCCTGTGAGAAGAGTTCTTTTTCTGCCTGGCTATAATAATGAAGCAGTGGCAGGCAAAATATATTAATAAACCATCTTCTACCTTAAATGGATTTCTAAGTATTTTACCGTAGAGTTAATCATGTCTGTAGGCCCCTCGGGAAGGCTGGTTGTTGTCATTACCCACATTCCGAGATGCAAAAACTAATGCTCATTTGTACCTACCTGGGAATTAGATGCAAGAGCCAGGATGAGAATTTATCATGAAAGGAGTCATGCCTGCCATTCTCAAGCCTGGAGGGAAATGACTCCAAACCCCAGAAAGAGTCCCTCTCCCTTCTCTATTTCTACTTGAGGTGCTAAGACCTGTTTACTAAGAGGAATTGGAGGGGTGGATACAGTGGCGGTGGATGGTCAGAGATAACTCTTTGGCCCCTATGGAAGAACCCCAAATTCAGCAGACTGAGGTCAGCAATCATGATCTCACACCTAACATCTGCTATCATATAACATTTGAGCTTGGGGAAATCATGCGATTTCCTATTTCCCCAAGATTTCCCACTGCAAATATCGAGACAAAATAGGGTCTGGCAAGAATGGACTAGTGCTGAAATCGGTTAATTCTCATCTTCTTTCAGAAACATAAACAAAATCTCCTGCTCCCCGTAGACATCATTTTTGGTTTTCCTGAGAGCAAAGTCATCCTTTGTGGTCACAAGTTGACAATTGATTTTTCTTTTTTTGGTGTTATATATCAAATGGCCCCACCAGCTAAAAGTAGCAGATGGATTTCCCTGAGAATTTAATATTGGAAAAGTCAGCAGAGGAAACGAGGGGGAAATGGGCCTAATGATGGATTAAGTTCAATCTTCAGTGTGAGTTGCTCAACTTTACCTGGTAGTACATTTTCTAGGGGCTTCCCAGGTGGCTAAGTGGATGAAGAATCCACCTGAAATCCTGCAGTGTAGGAGATCCGGGGTCCATCCCTGGGTTGGGATCTCCTGGGGGAGGGCATGACCAAGCCACTCCAGTATTCTAGCCTGTAGAATCCTGTGGACAGAGGAGCCTGGAGGGCTACAGTCCATGGGGTCGCAGAGAGTCAGACATGACTGAAGCGACTGAGCGTGCATGCATGCACACTTCCTGGTTACCTGTTAAAAGAGGAAGCCATACCTTCTCAGTCTTTCTTTGTTGCCTTGTTTGGCCTCCACATCTGCATACGCATCTCCATCCCTTCCAACCCAGGGCAGTTGTGGGCACAGGGTATGAGTGAAATGCTTGTGCATCATTCACACACGTGTTGTCTACACGTACCTGGGATGATCCGTTGAAAGACGCACGGACGTTATGGCACAAGGACCCTTATATGACAGTGATTTAGTTGGAAAAATTCAGCTTCTTTTTGGTGGTGGCTGGATGACTTTGAGAAGAACACATTTTGTTGTTGTTATTGTTGCTTTTCAACAGTTGTTTAAAAAAAAAAAGCTTCCTGGTTGGATTTGGGAGAAAGTCCAGGGGAAAAACAAAGCCACACTGCCTCTTCTCTTTCCCCAGGGAGAATCTGGGTCAGTGCAGGGAGCTCAGACAGGAGTCCCCAGGCAGAGAACCATGTTGGTGTTAGCATGCGGGGTGGGCTGTGTGCAGCTCGGGGCTCCCCCCACGCTCAGGAGCCTGGCCCAGGAGGGAAGGAGCCACATTCCATCAAGGCTGAAGTGAGAGGAAACATACGAAGGTGGGCACACAGCAGCCAGAGAGGAGAAGTGACAGGAACTGAGGCCAGTGCAGCCTTCCCCTAAGTTTCAAGAATTTGAGAAACATAACTCTTAAGAGGAAACCGGCTCTGCAAGAGTGTGAAGCCCTGGACACTTGGGAATCTTCGGTATCAGTAATGCCAGGGGCTCACACTCATTCATCTGAAGTGAGCACTCTGCAGGGCCAGCATCTTTTCATGTCGACCGAACAAGAATAGAGAATGTAAGTCAGTGTCGGAACTTGACCAACATTTTGATGTGGTTTTGCCAGATTCGCACACTAAGAGGCTTCTGTGATTTTGCATTGGTTTTATATACAGAAGATCTCTATAATGATGTCTGAAGGAGCTTTTTTTTGGGGGGGGTTGTGGGGTGGGCGTTGACTGTTGAATAATCAATGGAATTATTCTAAAACATCCTCCCAACACTTTACATTTACTCTAAACGCTAATGAATTAATCTGATAATTTTAAACGTGCACACGTGCATGCTTCAGGGTTTTCCTTTCCTAGTTAATTAGTTTGTGACCCTTATTAAGATGTCTCGGGCTTATTAAGACCGCGTGGTAACTTTGCCTTTCTTCTTAATTTGGAAATGACAGCTCCTCAAGGGGGGAAATGGTTAAACTCCTCGCCCGGGCTCGTGCACGGCCGCAGCGCGGCGCGGCGGGGGTTAAGGTGGGCGCCCGCGCCCCGCGCCCCGCGCCCGCCGCCCGCCGGGATGCGCGCGGTCTGCCCGCTCGCTCGGCGCCGGCACCGCGGAGAGCGGCGGTCAGTGATGGAGCTGCTGCCATGACAACCCCGGCGGTCGGGGCCCGCGCGCGTCGGGGCTGCTCCCGGGAGGCCGGCGGCGCGGAGGCCGGGGGCGGCCGCTGAGCGTGGCGTCCGCACGGCTCCGGGGCCGGCAGCGCCTCGCCTTGCCCAGCGAGCGAGCGAGCGAGCGAGGGGCCGCCGCCGCGGAGACCGCCCAGCCTAGACCGGCCGCATAGCGGCGGCTGCAGCGCGCATTTGGGATCGGAGGAAGTTGACCGAGGCGGCTGCGGCAGCAACCCCCGTCCGGATCGCGCGAAGCCCGGCGTAGCCTCCCTCTCCTGCTGGCTCACTCCTGCGCCTCCTGCGTGCTCCACTTTTCGGCTCTGCTATTGTTACAGACTGTTTTCTGCTGGCCATCCTTCTTCCGAAACTTACAAAGAAAGTGTTGGACCTGCCCTTGTTGGAACTGAGGAATTCAGATCATCTCTGGGTGGCCGGATCCAACCCACCCCCTATCCCCTTCTGGTACCAAAGTGCTTACTCCTCTCCCAAGTGCCATGCCTGAACTGTTAACGCGAGGAAGGGGCTCCTGAGGCGTGCCCGCACCTTCGCACCTGTCTGGCGCTTCTCCTCTCTCGGCCACCTTCTCGGCCAAGCAGCACCGAGGCAGCCCCCTTTGGATGTGCCCCGTGGAAACCGCTTCTCCGAGGCTGGAGCGCTGAGGCTCGATTTGGGGAGGAACACCCGACTTGGAGGAGTCTGCGCGCTTTTTCTCCAGCCCGCGCCTCCGGGTCCCCGTGCTCGCTCCCCACCCCACCCACTTCCCGTGCGCGCCCGGGGGGCGTGTGCCGAGCCGCCGCCGGAGTTCTGGGAAGTTGTGGCTGTCGAGGATGGGGGTCTGTGGGTCCCTGTTCCTGCCCTGGAAGTGCCTCGTGGTCGTGTCTCTCAGGCTGCTGTTCCTTGTACCCACAGGAGTGCCCGTGCGCAGCGGAGATGCCACCTTCCCCAAGGCGATGGACAACGTGACGGTCCGGCAGGGGGAGAGCGCCACCCTGAGGTAGGGAGCCGCCATCCCTCTCTGAATCGACTGATTTGTGGAGGGGACGTGGGGGGAGAGCGCTAGGGGTGCAGGTGTGTCCTGCGGAGCTGCTGCAGGGAGGCTTCGCTGCTTCGCTGGGCTGCCCTATTCATGGCTGAGCTGGGTGTGCTGCCTGGAAAGGTGGTGGTCATGGGGAAACGTTCAGCGGTTCCAGAGATGAGCTGTTTCCCAAACCTGGCCTCCTTGGCTCAGGACTTGGTAAGCAGGAGGGGCGCTGGGCCAGGGGCTCTCTGATATGGAGGCCAGTGTCCAGAGCGCTGTCTGTTGCCCGAAGCTGGTGGCGTGGTGATTGGGGGCCTGGCTGGGGCTCCGCGTGAGCAGTCTTCTCTGAAGTTAATGAGTCCCAGAGGTCGGGTCTGGCTTCCTGTGAATGCTATCACTCTGCCCATGCCATGGGACGTTGCCAGCCAGCTCCCAGACTCTGGTCGAGCGGCTGTTTTGCCCTGGGTCTAACTGTGTCTGGGCTTTCCTGGGGCACCTTCGTGCCTCGAGCTGGTGACCAGAGGGCCATGCTTTCTCTATCTGAGCATGGCCCTGAGATCGAAGCCATGGAGATAAGTCTGATTTCCCCTTGGAAATATCACTTACTCTGTCAGTGGTGCTATCCTCCACAGCAGTGTGTGCAAAGCTCATCTACCCAACGGAATGGGGAATTTATTGTTGAGTTGGGTCCTGGTGGACTTCTGGGGTTCAGGCTGATAGGAGGTGGAGGAGGAAGAGAAGAAGAATCTCGGCTATGTTTTGTGTAAGGTAGGATGAGCCTGTCTCCCGTTCTACCCTGCCTCCTGAAATGCTAACGCCAATTTCCAGTGTCTACAAACCATACCACACACAGGAGGGCCACACAGAATGTCAGTGATTGTAAGCGGGGATCTTACGCTCTGGAATTTGATGAGAGTCCGCAGGAGGTAGAAGTTAAGAAGCTTCGTGGAAAGAATGATGTGCTTGCTTAAATAAAGTTTCCCAGGCTGGGCCAACGCTGAGCTGACTGCATGGCAGTGTGGCAGTATTCCCATTCTCTGTACATGAAGATTCTTGGAGAGACAACCTTGGTGCTGGTAGCCACGGTTTTACCCCTGCTGCAGTTGTCCTCTAAGGTTTATGGATGATGCATGAGGCAATACCCATGGGGTAGAAAATGTTGAGGAAGGGGCACGGGTTACAGAGCTGACTCGTCAGGACATTGCCAGAGGAGGGGTGTGATTTAAGGGCCTGTCGAAGCCTGCAGGCACCCATACTCCTTCGTCTCTGGCAAGCTAACACCCATGCCCCCCAGGGTTGCTAGGTTTTCTTTGGTTCTGGGATCCACCTCTTCCATGGAACCCTGAATTAGGGACGATTTTGAGCAAAGGTTAAAGATTTGACTGCCTCATACCTGAAATAGCTGTGTGTCTGCTTTGTAAAGGATTTCATGGACGCTTCAGATATGTCCTGATCTCAGGCTGTTTAGAAAGAAACACAAAAGCAAGCCTCTGAAGCAATATAGTGAATGGCACGTAGTGTCCTCGGCGTATGCCCTTGGTCCCCAACCCTTGGCTGCAAAGTGTAGCCCCCAGGAGATAAGACGGAGACAGTCGTACTGGAGAACACTGTAGACATGACTGGAGTGGTACTTTCAAGAAGGTGGAAGGTAGTCAGCTCTGTAGACATCAGGAGATAAAGAAGCAAGACCAAGGGGTCTTGCAGACAGTAGCTCCCAGTGTATAGGAACAGTGAGGGGATATGGGTGGGCTGGGTGTGGTCTTCAGCAGGCAGCCCCCAGGCTCAGGAGAATCTGGACCCTGCCAGCATAGGCTCGGCCCGGAGCCAGGCCTGGGTAGGAGCAGCTCCTCTTAAAAATCGCATGATCGTGTACCTGCTGGCTTCTCTCTTTGTCTTCACTACCATGCCTCTTGCTGGCTTTCTCTGGGCCTCTCTGTCCATCTCTCTCTCGCTCTCACATTTGTTTGCATTTTGATGTGTGTTTAGGCTCACTGGTCTTGACTGGTTGTAGATGGAAGAAGTGGGATACCGTGGGGCTTCCACAGCCCAGCTCTGGCGCGGAGGCCCCCTGGAGCCCCCCTGACACTTAGGCAGCCTCTGGGGCTGACTGTCTTCCCACCACGCAGCGGAGAGACCCTCCCAGTGGAGGGAGCCCTCCAGGGTGGGTTTAGAGGAGCGGGGATCTGCCTGACGCCAGCCCACTGGCCTCGGGTCTGAGTGGGGGTGTGAGCTGGGCTGAAGGGGGACAGGGGTGCTGGAGTCTCCGTAGGATGGGCGTGGTCCTCCTTAGGCCCTCTCTCACTGGACGAGGAAGGGCCGCCATGATGGGGTGCACTTCTGTGGAGGGGCAGCCCTTAAACCCTCAAACATGGGCTCGGCCTCTTGTGATTCTCTGTGCAGAGAAGCAAGTAGGAAATCTCAGATTTTGTTTGCACAGAAATTGCTAGATTTGCACATAACCTGATTCCAGGTTGCAACACTGTAGTGGTTCAGATCTCTGGGTTATTTCCCTTTGGGTTTTATTGTGTGTGTGTTGGTCTCTTCTTTCTTTTGTCCTCCCTCCCCTTCCCTCCTTCCTCCTTTCCTCCCTTCCGTATTTCTTGATTCAACATGTCACCAAGCTCCCCAGACCCCAGTCAGGCTGGCCCTGACCACTCTAGCTCTGCCAGGGGAGCCACCCTCCCCTAGTCACCGTGGGTGACCATGAGGTTCACGCTTGTAGTTTTCTCCTCAACCAGCAGAGGACTTTTTGCTCTAATTTCGTTTTATTCTGCTTTGTTCTCACCAGTTTCGTTTTTTTGAGGATCTTTTGCAGTCCCCAAAGAATGCATGCTTCAGCAGCAGATTCTAATGTGAGGGAACTTTTGAGGAGGTTTTATTTCCTCCAATTAGCTCTAATGATCCTTGTGGAAGAACCGGGAAACCTTTCACCTAGTATGGCATCTACCTTCTGAATAGAATTACAATTTGCAGTCTCTCACTCCTTCTGCCCTCCTGCCAATAGTCTGTATGCATATTTTTACAAAAGAGTGAGGTTTCGTACAATAGACTGTGCAATAATAATAACATGAACCTAAGTTTCTTGGTTGCTCACTATGTCCTAAGGAGTATTCTAAGTGTTTTATACATGGTCTCACCTATCACCAAACTCATAACATAAACATTTAACCCTGATGCCACCCCTCTGATTGTAGGTGCCATGATCATCCCCATTTTACACATGCTAAATCTGAGGCTTGAAGAGTTTATATCATTTAATTAAGGGTGCACAGCTAGGAGATTTAGAAGCCAGATTATGTGGCAGTAGCAATAATATTAAATAGATGCATGGGTGTGTGCATGCTAAGTCGCTTCAGTCATGTCCAACTCTCTGCGACTCTGAACCATAGCCTGCCAGGCTCTTCTTTCTGTGGGATTCTCCAGGCAAGAATACTGGAGTGGGTTGCCATTTCCTACTCCAAAATAAATGCATAGTACTATCAGTTACTGGTCAGTTACTCGCAATGAATCCTCACAACAACTCTCTGAAATAGATGTAATAATCTATTACATCTCAAATTACAAGCCCACAGTCTCCATTTTGGACTTCCCAGATGAGTGCTAGTTGTAAAGAATCCACTAATACAGGAGATGTAAGAAACGTGTGTTTGATTCCTGAGTCAGGAAGAGCTCCTGGAGGTGGGCAAGGCAGCCCACTCCAGTATTCTTGCCTAGAGAATTCCATGGATAGAGGAGCCTGGTTGGCTACAGTCCATGGGGTCACAAAGAGTCAGACACGACTGAAGTGACTTTAGCACACACGCACGCATCTCCATTTTATCGATGAGGATGCTTAGACGCAGAGAGGGGAATTTACCTAAGATCACACGTTAGTGAGTGGCCCAGCTGGAATGCCGAGTCCTTGCCTTTGCAGGACGATCTTTCCCCAGCGCGTCCTGTGCTCTTCTGATGACTCTGCTCGAGGACTCGGTGTCTCCCCACTCATTTTCTCTCTTGCCCTGTCTTGCGGTGTCATTCATCACCCTTTTCCCTCTCCTTGTGTTTGGGGAGCAGCGAGCTCTTGGAAGCAGGGATCCTGTTTGTTGTGCCCAGAGTGCCATGTGCTCCCAGATGTCTACTGAACAGATAGATGACTAAAAACAAAACAAAACAAAACATCCTCCAGTCTCCATACAACTGTGGTTCAGCCAAGATGCGTGGAATGGTCCTTACTTGAAGGGCATGAGCTGGGTGTTGGGTGTGGAAAGGCTTGGGGCTGAGGTTTCTCACCCCAAGACCTTGGGTCCAACTCACAAGGCTGGGCTGTGGTCGCAGAGGTCAAAGAGGTCATCAACCGTGGAGGACATTGTGTCCATTGTGGGTGGGTGGTCTGCCTGTGGTCAGAGAACAGTACCCTCCTCCCAATGGACATGACTGTGCTGCTCTGATGGGAGCAGGGGAGCCTGAGATATCAGCTGTGTGGCTCTCATTAATTAGACCATCACTGAATGTCAGCATGTCACTTGACAACTTTGATGAATGCGTGTCATGTTTTCATAGATTCCCCAAATGAGGCAACTGGTGAAGTCAGTTGTCTCCTTGGGCGAGATCTGGTAAGTGGGTATCAGAGCTGAACTATGCTTTCTTTCATGTCCCTAGACTCTAGGCTTTGTGAATGTGGGATGTTGCTTTTTTATTAGAAAAAAAAAAGTGAGTTAAGAATAAAAAGTCTGAGAAATTTACAAGACGGAAGTGGGGTTTCATATAGCAGTTCCAGGGGATAGCAGAGAACAATGTGGTTTCCATACTTGAGGAACCCCGCGGGGCTTCTTCCGCTGCTGGAGGCTGCAGCATGTTACTCAGGTTTGGAAAGCCTGTAACATTTCATTCTCGAAGCTGGTGGGTCCTCTGTTAGTCTCTCCAGCTACTGCATGGCCTCTTAAAGCCAGAATTATGCCAGCTTCAAGTTTCTGTTCCTGGTTCCTAGTGCATGACTT